TTTTTTTTTTTTTTTTGGTGGAACCGGGGACTGAACTCAGGTACTTGCCAGGGAAGTGCTTATTCCACTGAGCCATCTCCCTGGCTCCAATGCCTTTTTAAGCATTTACCTGAACATATAGGTATAGTTTCCTTGAACAGAAATGACTGTTTTGTCTTCAGTCACTGTAAATTTAAAATTTGCACTTGTTGAATGCCATGCTGTTACTGGGGAGCGCCTTCTAGAAGTAGCTTTGCCAAACACTAAATGATAGAGGATTCTGGGTGGCTTGCTTCTTCTTCTTCTGGAGGTAGATTCCAGGTTCTGCTCATCTTGAGCAAAGAATTGAATAAAATGAGCAAAGAGCTGTGGTAAAATTTGAAAAAGTAAAAGTGAAGAGTGAGGGAGAAATAGGCTCTGCAGAGTGACCCTGGGTCAAGCGAAAGAGGAAAGCACCAGATAAATATACACCGTGGAGCAAGGAGAATGGGATATCATGAGGAGCCCTGTGGTAACCAGCTCTTCTTGGAGCCTGTGGCCAAATCTCAAGCTGTGAGAACTTCTCCACGTGGGTCCTGAGAGGTGGTGCTGGGATTCCACAGCTCAGGCTGATGTCCGATCTAGTCTGCAAACTCACCCAAGTTCTTGAGAGGGGTTCATGTGCAAGGCTTCGGGAAGTGTCCTGCATATCTCTTCTAAGATCTTGTAATGAACAGGTCACTCGTACTTCTCCAGTCGATTTTGCTACACCCCAATCTCCTACATCAATACTATTCCTTGGGGTTGCAAGGCTGAATAAGATTGAGAGTTTGTAGCTTGGAAATACAAAAAGGGAACAACCTGAATCCAATTCAATAGACTTTCTATGCATAAATAATTTATAAGTACTTAGATGTGGGCAGAGGTAATTTTATTGTTTTGTTTGGTTGAGTGGAGGTAGGGGTTATAAACGTTAAACAAAATCACAAATAGAAAGCATTAATTGGATGGTGAATTGAGAAAATAGACTCTTGGGGGAATGGGTAGATCATTTTTACTTTCCAAATAGCGGGGAGAAACTTTTTCCAGGATGTGGAAAAATTTGGAAATCTTAGTGAATATTACATTTATAAACTTGAGAAATAAATAGCTATTGGGTAGCTAGCCAGGCCTGGTATATTAACAACTTTAATCCACAGTAGGAGGTGAGGTTTTTAGAGATGAGGAACAGGCTCATAGTACTGAGGTACAGTTATCTAGCGTCTCATTACTAGCAAATTAAGCGACAGGTGTGCGCAGTCTAGGTCTGTCCAGATTTCCCAATGCCCCTACATCATGCTGTTCCTGGAAAAGTAACAGAAAAGAAGAAACCAGACAAGTGATATGTCAATTTATGATTTGTTATGCTTCCTATCCATTTTTTTTTTTTTTT